AACAACAGAATACACATTTTTCTCAAGTGCTCATGGAACATTCTCCAGGATAGATCATATCTTGGGTCACAAATCAAGCCTTGGTAAATTTAAGAAAATTGAAATTGTATCAAGTATCTTTTCTGACCACAACGCCATGAGACTAGATATCAATTACAGGAAAAGATCTGTAAAAAATACAAACACATGGAGGCTAAACAATACACTACTTAATAATGAAGTGATCACTGAAGAAATCAAAGAGGAAATAAAAAAATACCTAGAAACAAATGACAATGGAGACACGACGACCCAAAACCTATGGGATGCAGCAAATGCAGTTCTAAGGGGGAAGTTTACAGCACTAAAAGCCCACCTTAAGAAGCAGGAAACATCTCGAATAAACAACCTAACCTTGTACCTCAAGCAATTAGAGAAAGAAGAACAAAAAAACCCCAAAGCTAGCAGAAGGAAAGAAATCATAAAAATCAGATCAGAAATAAATGAAAAAGAAATGAAGGAAACGATAGCAAAGATCAATAAAACTAAAAGCTGGTTCTTTGAGAAGATAAACAAAATAGATAAACCACTAGCCAGACTCATCAAGAAAAAAAGGGAGAAGACTCAAATCAATAGAATTAGAAATGAAAAAGGAGAAGTAACAACTGACACTGCAGAAATAAAAAAAATCATGAGAGATTACTACAAGCAACTCTATGCCAATAAAATGGACAATCTGGAAGAAATGGACAAATTCTTAGAAATGCACAAACTGCCAAGACTGAATCAGGAAGAAATAGAAAATATGAACAGACCAATCACAAGCACTGAAATTGAAACTGTGATTAAAAATCTTCCAACAAACAAAAGCCCAGGACCAGATGGCTTCACAGGTGAATTCTATCAAACGTTTAGAGAAGAGCTAACACCTATCCTTCTCAAACTCTTCCAAAATATAGCAGAGGGAGGAACACTCCCAAATTCCTTCTACGAGGCCACCATCACCTTGATACCAAAACCAGACAAGGATGTCACAAAGAAAGAAAACTACAGGCCGATATCACTGATGAACATAGATGCAAAAATCCTCAACAAAATACTAGCAAACAGAATCCAACAGCACATTAAAAGGATCATACACCATGATCAAGTGGGGTTTATTCCAGGAATGCAAGGATTCTTCAATATACGCAAATCTATCAATGTGATAAACCATATTAACAAATTGAAGGAGAAAAACCATATGATCATCTCAATAGATGCAGAGAAAGCTTTCGACAAAATTCAACACCCATTTATGATAAAAACCCTGCAGAAAGTAGGCATAGAGGGAACTTTCCTCAACATAATAAAGGCCATATATGACAAGCCCACAGCAAACATCATCCTCAATGGTGAAAAACTGAAAGCATTTCCACTAAGATCAGGAACAAGACAAGGTTGCCCACTCTCACCACTCTTATTCAACATAGTTTTGGAAGTTTTAGCCACAGCAATCAGAGAAGAAAAGGAAATAAAAGGAATCCAAATCGGAAAAGAAGAAGTAAAGCTGTCACTGTTTGCAGATGACATGATACTATACATAGAGAATCCTAAAGATACTACCAGAAAACTACTAGAGCTAATCAATGAATTTGGTAAAGTAGCAGGATACAAAGTTAATGCACAGAAATCTCTGGCATTCCTATATACTAATGATGAAAAATCTGAAAGTGAAATCAAGAAAACACTCCCATTTACCATTGCAACAAAAAGAATAAAATATCTAGGAATAAACCTACCTAAGGAGACAAAAGACCTGTATGCAGAAAATTATAAGACACTGATGAAAGAAATTAAAGATGATACAAATAGATGGAGAGATATACCATGTTCTTGGATGGGAAGAATCAACATTGTGAAAATGACTCTACTACCCAAAGCAATCTACAGATTCAATGCAATCCCTATCAAACTACCACTGGCATTTTTCACAGAACTAGAACAAATAATTTCGCAATTTGTATGGAAACACAAAAGACCCCGAATAGCCAAAGCAATCTTGAGAACAAGAAAAGGAGCTGGAGGAATCAGGCTCCCTGACTTCAGACTATACTACAAAGCTACAGTAATCAAGACAGTATGGTACTGGCACAAAAACAGAAAGATAGATCAATGGAACAGGATAGAAAGCCCAGAGATAAACCCACGCACATATGGACACCTTATCTTTGATAAAGGTGGCAGGAATGTACAGTGGAGAAAGGTCAGCCTCTTCAATAAATGGTGCTGGGAAAACTGGACAGGTACATGTAAAAGTATGAGATTAGATCACTCCCTAACACCATACACAAAAATAAGCTCAAAATGGATTAAAGACCTAAATGTAAGGCCAGAAACTATCAAACTCTTAGAGGAAAACATAGGCAGAACACTCTATGACATAAATCACAGCAAGATCCTTTCTGACCCACCTCCTAGAGTAATGGAAATAAAAACAAAAATAAACAAATGGGACCTAATGAAACTTCAAAGCTTTTGCACAGCAAAGGAAACCATAATCAAGACCAAAAGACAACCCTCAGAATGGGAGAAAATATTTGCAAATGAAGCAACTGACAAAGGATTAATCTCCAAAATTTACAAGCAGCTCATGCAGCTCAATAACAAAAAAACAAACAACCCAATCCAAAAATGGGCAGAAGACCTAAATAGACATTTCTCCAAAGAAGATATACAGAATGGCAACAAACACATGAAAGAATGCTCAACATCATTAATCATTAGAGAAATGCAAATCAAAACTACAATGAGATATCATCTCACACCAGTCAGAATGGCCATCATCAAAAAATCTAGAAACAATAAATGCTGGAGAGGGTGTGGAGAAAAGGGAACACTCTTGCACTGCTGGTGGGAATGTGAATTGGTTCAGCCACTATGGAGAACAGTATGGAGGTTCCTTAAAAAACTACAAATAGAATTACCATATGACCCAGCAATCCCACTACTGGGCATATACCCTGGGAAAACCAAAATTCAAAAAGAGTCATGTACCAAAATGTTCATTGCAGCTCTATTTACAATAGCCCGGAGATGGAAACAACCTAAGCGCCCATCATCGGATGAATGGATAAAGAAAATGTGGCACATATATACAATGGAATATTACTCAGCCTTAAAAAGAAATGAAATTGAGCTATTTGTAATGAGATGGATAGACCTAGAGTCTGTCATACAGAGTGAAGTAAGTCAGAAAGAAAAAGACAAATACCGTATGCTAACACATATATATGGAATTTAAGGGGAAAAAAAATGTCATGAAGAACCTAGGGGTAAGACAGGAATAAAGACGCAGACCTACTGGAGAACGGACTTGAGGATATGGGGAGGGGGAGGGGTGAGCTTTGACAGGGCGAGAGAGAGTCATGGACATATACACACTAACAAACGTAGTAAGGTAGATAGCTAGGGGGAAGCAGCCGCAAGGCACAGGGATATTAGCTCGGTGCTTTGTGACAGCCTGGAGGGGTGGGATAGGGAGAGTGGGAGGGAGGGAGACGCAAGAGGGAAGACATATGGGAACATATGTATATGTATAACTGATTCACTTTGTTATAAAGCAGAAACTAACACACCATTGTAAAACAATTATACCCCAATAAAGATGTTTAAAAAAAAAAAAAAAAGTCTGTGTAGAAAAGTCTCAGGAGCCACGGCTGTAGGGATAAGAAGCCTAAGGTGTAAAGGCTGGGATGAGTTTTAAAACAAAGAGACAAACAGAAAGGTTCAAGCTTTCCCCTTTCAGAAGTGTTCTCTGTCTCCGTAGGTACAGTCACTTGCTGAACAAGAGCAGAATGGAAGCCTTGACATAAGCGCTATATTTTGGCATTTCACTGAGTCATTTATTCACAGTATTCCAGCTCACTCTCATTGTGGGTATTTTGAATTGTTCTCTAATTTTCTAATGGACAGTTAAGTGTCTTGATGGCACTTAACATCTAGCCTGGGGCCCAGTGAATGCTCCTCTTTCAGAAGAGAAGAGAACCCAAAAGGTGCTGGGGGAAAGCTAGACTAATTGTCCTGAAGAATGCAGCCAGGGAAGCTGGTAGGTTTCCTGGGAGCTTTTGAAGAAAAAGGGAAATGATGGATGGGACCCATGTTAAGCCATTTTAAATTTTGTCTCAAGGATACACATCACCTTCTTGTTGAAATGATACCCTGATTTCCCTCTGGAAAGACCATCGTCCCCCCTCCCCACCTCCCTGTCTCTCAGTGTGTTGAGGGGTAGAGCTGGGACCTGGGTCAAAACCAATCAGTGCCACACAGTCCCCTAGCCTAGACCAGTGACTGGTTCAGGGATGGGCACACGACCCATGCAGAGACCATGAGCACGGGGAGAACTTTCCTGGGAACGCCAGAACAGAGGCAAGCTGTGTTTTCTGTTTTCTGCTGATCTTGAAATAATGAGAGAAGGATTGCAGCCATCTGGCTACCAGCCTGCCCAAGAATAAAGCCAGTGAGGGGAGCAAGAGAAGAAGAAAAATCGAGTCCTGGTAACATCATCTGTGGTCTAATCAAGCTCCACTCTGATCAGCTAAAACTAAGACTCTTCAGTTTCCAGAACTCAGAAATTCCCTCCTTGTTTAAGTTAGTTTGGGTTGGGTTTTCTGTCACTTGCAATTAAGAGTCCTGGCTGACATGGAAAACTTGCTTTGGAGTCAAGGGACTTGGGCTCAAATGTTGGCTTCACACTGCTAACCCACTAGCAATGTCAGCACGACCAATTGCTTCTCCTCCTAAGCCCCGATTCCCTCATCCATCAGAGCCGTTCTGAGGAGGTGGCAACAATTTTTAAAGTGCCAGAATAGTGTTTGGACAAATAAGGTGATTAAGAATTTATGGTTCCTTCCCTCCCTCCCTCTGATTTCCTTTAAAGGAAAAAAAAAGGAAAGACTTGCTGATGGGAAGGTAAAATAACATTTTTCTAACCCAATGTCCTTTCTCTTCCAACAAGTAGGCATTGCAAGGATGGGAAGTACCTTAAAAGAGGCCACCCCTGGGTTGGAGATGCCCGGTGCGTGTTGGCCGGTGCCGTAGCCCGCGTAGCTCATCACCCACGGCTCGTGGAAGGTCACCCACAGCTTCACACGGTCCCCAAATGTGGAGAAGCAGAAGGCCGCATAGTCCAGGAAGGTATCCACCATGCTCTCATTCTGCCACCCGCCGCGATCCTGCAGGGCCTGAGGCAGGTCCCAGTGGGACAGCGTGGCCATGGGCTCGATGTGCGAGTCCAGCAGCCTGTCGATCAGCATGTTGTAGTAGGCGACGCCCCGGAGGTTGGGGCTCTGCCCCTGCCCAGTGGGGAAGATGCGGGACCAGGAGATGGAGAACTTGTAGACCTGGGCCCGGAGGCCACGAAGCAGGGCGACGTCAGTGTCCACCTTGTGGTAACTGTCACTGGCCACCTCTGGCGTTGCTTGGCCCTTGCCAGTGTTCTGGTGCCCGACTCTGTCCCAGATGCTCGCCCCTCTTCCGTCCTCGGCCCAGCCTCCTTCCACATTAAAAGCCCCTGTGGAGACGCCCCAGAGGAAACCCTCAGGAAAAACATCCTGCAGGAAAGCATCCCTTTCTGCCCTGGACTGGTTGGCAAACATTTCCCAGACTCTCTGATAGGTTGAGTGGGGCAGAGAGGAGTCTACTGCTGTCTCCGGGTCCAGCTGCAGGAGAGTCTGGAGGGTCAGGTTGTCAGTCAGAGAACAAGACCAGCTGTAGGAGTGAAGTGACATAAAGGGACATAGTATAAGTAATGACTCTGTAAGTTACAAATGCCCCCAGACCGATGAACAGTGACAATGTGTTTAATCAGTAAAGATTCCAGAAACACCGACCCAAAGTCATGCGCAGCAAGTAGATGGGAAAATTATTATTATTGTCTCCTCTTAGGTGAGTTATCATTGCTCCTGCATGAGTGAAAATACTGTACCAATGCTGCTGTTTGCTGTATTAGATCACCCTTGAATACAGTCTTCAGTTCTGATGAAAGTTTTTCTTCTTATAATGTATATTTATAAAACATAGCTAATAATAATGACTTCAATTTACTGAGACTTTTGATTCTATGGTGACCACTATGATAAAAATGTATGTACATTATCTCATTTAATTTTCAAAATAAGTATACAAGATAAGTACTACATTATTTATCTTCTTACTACAGAGGAGGAAACTGAGACTTAAAGAAATGAGTAACTTCGGGCATCAGGGGGCCAGCAGCTACGTACCAGCTGGTACAGAAATATTTCAATAATTGAATGACTGGTGCATCTCTACTGATGTGTACCACTCAAATGTCAACCCTGACTATAACCTCCTTTCTTCTTCATGCTGCCTGGATTATGGTCATAATGGCAGGAGCTCAAGCATCCATCCTGCACCATGAGGTAGAAGTTTTGTTAAGAATAACAAAGCAACAAGATAGGAGCCTGGATTCCTGATGATTTTTACCCACTCTAGACTGTCCATCTTCAGGCTTTATTTATATCAATAAACTTACATCTTGTTTTTTTAAAAAATGAGAACTCCTCCTAGATTACACAGCTTGCAAATGGTACAGCACAGAATCTGTGCTTTTAACCACATATCACTATGTATGTGTGTAGATGTGTAGGCATTTATGTGCATGTTATGTTTTATTTCAGAAATAAATGTATCTGAAATAAACATCAGAAATAAACAGAGCTAAAATAAAGCATAACATAAAAATGCTATTCTCATACGCAATGAAGTCTGATATATTCTATTTACTTCTAATCTGTTTTCCTTCTCTCTCCTTCCTTCCTCCTTCCCTCCGTCCCTTCTTTCTTTATTGTTTTCTCTATCTGAGTCCTGTCCTGCAGGCTGGAAAGCAGTGCGTGATAACATGCAGCAGTTACACCAGCAGAGGGCAACCTTGAGGAAGGATTGGTGGAGGCGGGTGTGTTTGGCCTGGAGAAAAGAACACACATGAGGAGAGGGAGTGGAGTACAAGAGTATCTCCCTGTCCTTGGGCCATCGAGGGGCTGACACTTATACAAGGTTGGCCCAGAGCACAGAACCGGTAGAAGTGACGGAGACACTGCAGAAAGACCTCCCTCCCGTGGAGTGGAGCCTGGACCTTCCAAACTTAAGCTCCTCCTATTTTATGAAGCATCAACTCATCCGCATTTGGTAGAAAAGTGGTGAGGGGAAATGATAGCCTATATTTGTGGATTACCCAAAACAGATGCATGACTCTGGAGCACACCAGGGGCATGGAGGGGTGCCAGCTGTTCTGACCCAACCCTTCTGACTATGACCGTCCTTCTGGCTTGGGTGAGAAGAGGTCTTGAAGAAACAAACTGCCCCTGGATAACACAGAACTTGCCATACAGGCCTTGAAGCTGGGAGTCCTGGGTTTGCCTAACTTGGGAAGAGATTTAGCACAGAAAGTCTCTATGCCCAGCCCTCCAAGTGCCCTCCTTCAGCCACCCCTCACCCCCCACTCTAAGCCACCTCAGAGCATCCCAGGTAATGCTCTTTTTCCCTCCTCTGGGGAGCAGTCTGTATCTCCTGCCATACTCTGTGCTAGAATCACTGGTGGGCCTCTCTGTCTCACTTCTGAGGTCTAAAACACTCTGACAAGAAAATGATGCCCGTCCTCTCAGGACGCGCTTCCACCTGCCCCTGCAGGTTCTCCATCAACATCCACCTGAGTGAGAACCCCCCGCCCCCACTCTCGGTTTAACGTTAGCCAATGTTGGATCTTCCCTGCAGGCAAGGTACTGAGAGATCAAGGTGTTAGAGAATCCTGGAGCCGGTGTCTCCTGTCGTCTTGTGGTTTTGCAATCATTGTGATCTCAGGGTGCCCCCTTTCTTTTTCTTTTGCCATGTCATGCGCGACATGTGGGATCTTAGTTCCCCAAGCTGAGATGGAACCCGTGGCCCCTGCAGGGGAAGCATAGAGTCCTAACCACTGGTCCGCCAGGGAAGTCCCCAGGGTACCACGTTTATTATGACCTCTTGAGTTTTATTTTCGGAAAAGATAGCCCAGCACTCCTCAGCTGGCTCCACGTGTGAACAGAGAGCCGTTCTGATCTCCTTGCTCATCATACTGTTCACACTGCCGGCACAAAGCCTGACGTGGGCAGCTGCTTAGGCTCTGGTGATCTGAACTGCAGATTTGAAGTGAGTTGAGAGGACTGAACAATGGAAGGAGACACAGCTGAGGACAGCCAAATGCTGGGAGAGAAAAGGTACAACGAGGTGGTGGCAACTGAAGTTTATGATCTTGGACAGAGCTGTGCTAGAAATGTCTGAGGTGAGCTCTAGCTGAAGGTCTGGGAAGCCAATGATTGCCTCCGGGCCTTGGTCCTTCCTTGACACACGGTATATGATGCTCAGGTGTGTAACATACCCCCACGGAGAGCTGAGGGTTCTGGGAAGTTCCCTGCACTGGCTTCCACACCAAACTTTTCTCGAGAAGCGCATTGGAATATAAGTGCATGAGAATGATATAATTATGGAGATAACCTCAAATCTACTCTAATTTTTTTTCAGTATGTCACTTACAAATTTTGGTACTTTAGTCATGTGCTAAGAAATTATTTGCAATCCCACAATAATTTAAAACCTTTGTCCTGAGAAACTGCTGATTTAGGCTTCTGCCCTGCTGCACAGCTGGCTTTCCTATCTATGCCATCTCCTCACGGGTAAGATGTTTCACATTTTGTGTGAGGAAATGGTGCAGAGAACTCACCTTACTTACTCAGATCACATAACTTCAGGGATGGGCAGATCTATCATTAACCCAGCCTGCTCGTCCACAACCTCACAATGCCTCCAACAAGATCTAAACTAGAAGGCAGGGGTTTAAACACCAGCTCTGCTAGCTGTGTGCACTTGGGTGAACTAGAGGAGAACCGTGTGGTGGCCAGAGACACTGCTCCCTGCTTTCCCCTCTGAGCCTTCATCTCTTGTCTCTAGAATGGCCACGAAGGACTCACTGGTCCAAGAGGCAGATGACAAGAGTCCCCTGTGTTTACACATGTGAAAGAACAACAGAGTATTCTGCAAATATCAGTTATTGGTAGTCCCACAGGAAATCTAACATTACCTTTTCTTGGAACTTGATGAACAGCTCAGGAATGTACTAAGATCAAACCCAATGGTGAGCACTTGTTCTTCACTTATGGCTGTAAGAGAAGACGTTTAATTCACTCCACCTGAAGCCCAATCAACAATATGCATGACTACTATCAACAGTTTTCCTCACTTGTACACCACACCCAAACCCCAAGCAATGGCTCCAAACCCCTCTGGAAAGTTCCACAGGCTAAAGATTTACAGAAGTCAAAAGTGATAGAACAGTGGTTCTCAAACTTCCATGTGCATCAGCATCACCTGCAGAGCTTGTTCAACACAGATTGCTGGGCCCACTCCAAAGTTTCTGATCACGGTTTCTGATCTGAGGTGGGCTCTAGAATGTGAATGTCTAACAAGTTCCCAAGTGATGCTAATGCTGCTTGTCTGGAGACCAAACAAGGAGAACAACTGACTCAAAACTCAAATATCAGGAGGGGGCGGAATTTTATTTTTTTTGTAAGAAACTATACATAAACATAAAATTAACCATTTTAACCATTTAGAAAGTGATGGGATTTAAGAACAGAAATCATTATACCATCAAAGATGAGTTAGGGCAAGAGTTATTAAGTGGTATCCATGGATGCAGTTCAAGAGGTCTGTGAAGCCAGCTCAGCACTGGTTACAGGTGGTAGAAAGGGCACTACCAACTTCTCCCATATTCTGACCTTACAGGGAGACTGAACTGGATATCCAGGCATGCAGGAGCGTGCCCCTTGGCCCTTCCTGCAGAGTGTCTAGTGGTCCTCAGCCCCTGAGGCCTTAGTGGACCTCCTACTTTCCCTTGGCCGGATTGGACCAGGAGCAATCTTCTTCTTCTCCTTCTTTTAATAGCCACACCATGTGGCATGTGGGATCTTAGTTCCCCAGCCAGGGATGGACCCCGTGCCCCCTGCAGTGGTAGCACAGAGACTTAACCACTTGACCACCAGGGAAGTCCCAGGAGCAATCTTCTGATTACACGGCCCACCCATCAGATTCACTCTCAAGAATTTGAACTAAGAGACACCAAGGAGATGCTCCATGAGCTGTGGGTCCTATACCTGAAGATTGTGATTAGGTAATGGGGAAATGAACAAAAGTAAGGTGGCTGAGGGGAGAGAGGCAGCCCTGCCAAGTGGGGCAGAGATGAGAGACCTTAGAGGGAGGGGTAATGGAAGTGGACAGATGGACACAGGGCAGTTGCCATGCTTACACCTGACATTTGAGGCCTGATGGTCTTTATTTCCATGAGACCAAGGCATCCTTACCATCCTCGTACAGAACCTCTCTCCTTTCTTGGGTCAGTGGGAGCTAAGGGATCAAGACGAACAACAAGAAGACAAGGGACATTAAACTCATCTGGGATGGGCTCTCAGACCACCCCTCCTCTGGTCGCTCCTCCCATTGGAACCCCAGACTTTTAAAATAGCTACCCCACAAGCCAGTGCACCAAATATCACTCCAAACCTCTCCAGTGATGGTCCACTCACCTGTGAGAAGGCTGAAGAACAGATCAGCTGGGTTCTTCTTTGTGGAGAGGCAGTCCTGGAGTTTCAGATTGAAGATGAAAACTTCCACTTTTGGCTCAATAGTCTGAAATGATATAGGCCAGCAAGTGAACTGAAGCTGCCTAGAGTAAGTTTTTTGTTAACAGGGACAGATTTTAAAGATAAGAAATCACGACACTCAATTTGGTTTTGGAAATGACTGCTAGCTGTCTCAGTCAATAAAGAGAGCCGACTCTAGACTTGAGGGAGAAAAATCTACACTTTTCAATAACATAGACCATTCTCTACACTGACCCCCCACCAAAGAGACAGGCTAATTTCTGCCATCACCTCAGACTACAAGGTACCTCCTAGAACCAGTCACTGTGTTAGGACCAGGAACAAGGCAGTCTGCTCATGTCAGGGGCCTGTGCTGCTACAAGAAGCTCAGTCAGGCGCCACTGTCAAGATGTTTATGGGTGTCTAGGGTTTGCTTCAAAACAATCTGGTTTGGGGCTTCCCTGGTGGTGCAGTGGTTGAGAGTCCGCCTGCCGATGCAGGGGACACGGGTTCGTGCCCCGGTCCGGGAGGATCCCACATGCGGAGCAGCTGGGCCGCTGAGCCTGCATGTCCGGAGCCTGTGCTCCGCAATGGGAGAGGCCACAACAGTGAGAGGCCCGCATAACGCAAAAAAAAACAAAACAAAACAAAAACAAAAACAAAATCCAAAACAATCTGGTTTGAGAGGGGGAAGGTAGGGTATAGATGAAACAAGATCAGCCACGAATTGATAGCTTTTGAAGCTGGGGATGGCTTCAGTTTACTTTTCCTTCTACCTTTGGATATATCTGACATACTCCATAAAGAAATTTAAAAGAAGCTATCTTCATTAGAATTGGAGCAGGTGTAATTTCTCTCCCATTTCTAGCCATTTCAGTGTCAAAAGAAACATCTTTAGGCTGACATGTTGTTTGACCTCACTTTAGGTTACCTTTTTTGGGGGAGGTTGGGTTTTGTCATTTTTCCCACACTAAGTTTTCCTCCTCTAGTCGTTAACAGCCACTGAGAAATACCAATAGCAACTACTTAAAAAGAAGCCAGGCGGGTTCTTTATTTTCTCAGAGCAGCCAGTAACAATGAGCCTCAAGCCTTAATCTCTGAGAAACCAAGTAAGTCGCTCAGAACCAGTGAGTGGAGCTGTGACCCACGTAGTCTTGTTCTTTCCCTGGGCCAGGTCAGTGCGCAAAGCCAAACTCCTAAGGGAACCGAGGGTTTTCCCCTCCCTGGAAGATCCATATGCAGTGAGGCAGCCTGTGGTATCACAGGACTGGAGAGCTGCAGGAGCCCTCTGCTGAGTGGGGAAGCCTCTGGTGAGCAAAGCCTCTTCTGAGAAGGGAACGTGGGACTCCTACATGTACCTCCTGAAGAATTCAGAACCTGTGGATGTGCTGTGGGTCCTCAGGCCCTAAGACAACTGTGTGCCAGTGGGGAGCAGCAGCTGAGGCTCAGAGAGGGGGTGCAGGTGCTCTGAGGAGAGTGGAGGGATAGTGAGGGGTGGCTTGTCAGGATAAATATCTACATGACCACATCCATGAAATGTCTGTTTTAATCTCAGAATGAACACTGGAATTTGGATTCTCAGTAGTTTTCTACACAAGAGAGCAGAGGATCCATGTAAATATTTACCTTAACAAGCCAACCCTCATTATCCTTTCCAGGGAAGACTATCTAACCTCCAGATGTTCTCTATAGGAATCTCTCCAGATGCAACTCTGCAAGTATGTGGACTCTTTTATTTGTTTACTTATTTTTGGCTGCACCGAGAAGCTTGTGGGATCTTAGTTCCCTGACCAGGGATTGAACTCAGGCCCTTGGCAGTGATGAAAGCACAGAGTCCCAACCACTGGACCGCTGGGGAATTCCCTGCAAGTATATGGACTCTTGGAGGAAGTTCAGTTTACACATCAGCTGAAGCATTAAATGTCTAATATGCTCTCAGGAAACTTTGCCATTCATCATCAATATGGAAAACAGCTCAAATTACCTGCAATTGATTCAGCTTCTGCCGGAAACCTGCCTCACTTTGGCATCCATAAGATAAATCTAGAGAGAGGAAGTCAACTGCGTCCTGGAAATAAGTAAATAGGATCATCAGAGCACAAGGAATTTCAAGACAAAGAACTGCTCAGAAGTATTCTTTTTTTGTTTCTCCCCTTATTACTAAATGGAATACTCCAAAGTGGGATTTTCCAAGGGAAAAGCAGGATGAGGAAAAGCTGGGGACACAGTGAGAATGTGTGTGGGGTGTGCCTACGTGCTGTGGGGAATACATCACGTGTGCACTCAGCAAAGAGCCTGGCACACAGGAAGCTCTCAATAAATGCGCACAATTGAATGAGTGAGTGAATGAAAGAAGCACCATATGCCAGAAAGGGTGGGTTTCCACCAAGTGGATGAGCACGAAGGAAGGGAGTCAGAGGCCAGAGCTGCCCTGAGCAGCATCCTCCTCATGGCCTTCCACTTTGCAGGACGGAGGCAGTGCGGCCCTCACCCACCCACAGGCCCCTTAGTAATTTCGGCAGACCCTACTGGGGTTTGGGGTTTTGTTTTTTTTTTTTTTTTTTTGGGGGGGTTTTGTTTTAATTGTAGGCTATAGTCACTGGCTACATTCAGGCCACAGTTTAAAGTCCACCCCAGGTGGCCTTAGCCTGGTCCACATTATTATTGGAGAACAGAACTCTCATGGTCCATGGACCCCGTCTGTGCTCCAGTTAAGGACATACCCCTCTGCCTTGTCTCTGGCCTGCATATACTTTAAGAACTACAGATTCAGAGTCTAAACATATGCAGATACCACGGTGATCCCCTCCCTACCCTTTTCAGCGAGCCATTTCTATCCTGGCCATGACCAGATCATTGCCTGTCTTCTCCCCTTCTCTTCCCTTGGGACAAAGACCGTCAATAATGGTATCTGCTGACAACCCAGTGCACTGTGACATTTGATAACTGACTCTCCTCTGGCTCCCTATGGCTTTCCCAGTCAAGTTATCACTGGTGTTTACTCAACATACCACAGGCTTGCTCCCCGCTGGTGAGCTCCACTCGAACCTTCCCCTCTGCCCTATCAGCGCTTGCTTTGTTTGTCAATTCCATACAGCATGTGATCATTGAGTTCATACCCTTGAAAGTCACTGTGTTGGGTTTAAAGATGAGTGAGATCCACAGAAGCTTCCAACTTGATACAGAGTGTTAACAGATGCATCGACTATATGAAGAGCAGGCAGAAAGTTCTAAGTGCTATATGAAAAATCCACATCAGTGGTCCTCAAATCTTGGTGCGGATTAGACTCACCTGGGAACTTGGGACGCCTATGAAGGCCCACGGCAACCCTCCACATTAAGCCTTGGCCTCTGTGTTCTTTACTAGCTCTCCAGGTGATTCTGGTACACACCAAAGCTTGGGAACCGCTGATCTAAACAAGTGGCTAAGGGTTCCAAGCTGGGAGAGATCACATCAGGTTGAGTGAGGGAGTATTATTAACAGAGGCCTCCTGATGGAGGGCACATCCACACAGATGTTAAAAATAGATAGAATTTTGTTGGAAGAGATTTGAGGAAGGCCAGGAGGATAGGACTTGAGTTAGGGAATGCAGGAGAGTCGGCAGGAAAAATAGCATACACGCTGGGACAAAAAGGTGAGGCCAGAGAGCAAGAAGGCCTGTGTGAGCCATATTCTGGAAGGCCCTGAGGAATTTCACCAATTCAGGGGAGTGTAGCTTCTCAGTAGGGAAATGAACAAAACTGTGCTTTCGGAAGGTGGCCCAGATGCGTGGCAGGAGTGGGGGCAGAGAGACCAGTTCAAAGACTGCTGCTTGACAAACACTTCTCAATCAGCACTTTGGTCTCCTGAGCTCATAACTGATAGCAATTATCGCCCCTCGTAAAAGAATTTAGATGGTAATATGGCCATACAATCAGTCTTGGACCTGGCCATTTCAGAACCTTATCATGTCTGGTTTTTAAATCCCTGAGCTGGTAAATCTGAAATTGGACCTTGGCATATGGGGCCTCCATCATAGCACAGACACCAGTGCTGCACAACTACAGAAATCAGTTGTTTTCTCTGAGGGCGTTCCATACCGCCCTGCGGCCAACATTACAAGGGCCAAAGCTGTTAAATTCTCAGATGTTTTAACTTTTCTTATTAAAATTATATTTAAAAGGTGTATTTAGAGGAGGTCAAAACCAGGATGGGCACTCTAGGGGGACATTATTTAAAGAAGAAAAAAAAAAACCTTTACCCTAGTATCTGTTTTGCTAAAAACACTGACCTCTCTTCTAAGAAGCTCTTTTAATAAAAAGTCAGAGCAAGAGCAGAGGCATCTGACTTCTTTGTACAGGCAAAAGCTGACACTTGACCAAGTGAGAGCTGGGGCTACAACAAATAGGATTTTGTTTTAAAGGAATTATGAATCTAGAGAATGCATAACACTCATAAGAGGCATTTGTAAGAATGTCAAGCAAACTATTATACAGAGGATGGATAAACAACACGGTCCTACTGTATAGCACAGGGAACTATATTCAATATCCTGTGATAAACCATAATGGAAAGGAATATGAAAAAGAATGTATATATAGATGTATAACTGAATCACTTTGCTGTACAGCAGAAATTAACACAACATTGTAAGTCAACTATACTTCAATAAAATAGATTAAAAAAAAGAATGTCAAGCCAACAGACAAAAATTTCTCTTGGTTTTTTAAAATTAAAATAGCAACTTTCCTGAGAAGTTACAGATGCTATTTCTTTGGGCTGTCATTACCTTGGCAAGTGCAGACGTAGACGGTTCTAGTAGGAGCTCGGAGACCACCTGGGCTCGCAGGACCACAGAAAGCTTTTGGCCTGAAACCAACCAGAGGAAGGGCTGAAGGTGAGAGAGGAAGGAGCCTGTGACCCCAGAAGCCCCTGGCGAACTCATTTCCTCTTGACCTTTCTATTCCATGTTCACTGACTTTAAAAAGGATTTCTTAAGAAATCACTCACATGGTTTTACCCTAGCTGAAAGATTTTAGAAAACAAGGTAGCTTTTTAAAAAATGTCCTGGGCTTCCCTGGTGGCGCAGTGGTTGAGAGTCCGCCTGCCGATGCAGGGGACACGGGTTCATGCCCTGGTCCGGGAGGATCCCAAATGCCACGGAGCGGCTGGGCCCGTGGGCCATGGCCGCTGAGCCTGCGCGTCCGGAGCCTGTGCTCCGCAACGGGAGAGGCCACAACAGTGAGAGGCCCGCGTAACGCAAAAAAAATAAATTAAATAAATTAAAAAAAAAAACAAAAAACGTCCTTTTAAAGAGTGTTTCATGTAAATCAGGATGGTGAAGTGCAGGACACTTGTAAAGTCTTTTGTAAGAATAAAAGCAGTTCCTTCCCCCAACCCTGAGCAATGTAAAAGGCGGAAAGGAGAGAACTGCGTCCTAAGTTCCTAATAAACCTTGGCCTCTGCGTGCTTTACAAGCTCTCCAGGTGACTCTGATACACACTAAAGCTTGGGAACCATTGGTTCCAAACAGCTAAGAGTTCCAAGTGGGGAGGGACTTTTGAAAGGCAGGGCGTTCTCAGGGGACTGCTGTTACCTGTCCTTTTTTGCTGTGCAAATGTCCATTCGATACTTACTGCGCATGAAGGAAATATAAACCTGTGCAGCTTGTACCCACTTGCTTTGACATTTGATCACCTAACAGTGGTGCTTAAGCTTATGTGCATCAGAATCACCTGTCCTTCCCGTCAGCCGACTGGGGTGGGCCCAGGAGCAAGTGCCTTTTAACAAGCTTCCTGGGTGCTTCTGAGGCAGTGATGCTCAGACCACAACTCGAAACACGCTGCTGTGGACTTGGGATTCCTCAGTTGTTAGCAGTGCCATCTAACTCTTTGATGTGCATAAGTCTTTATCTCCTGCTGGATTGTGTGCTCCTTGAGGAGCAAACTTAAACATTTCTCTAGGCCCTCCAAACAGCAAGCTTAGGACTGGGTGCATAGGCAGGTGCTCAGACCTGTGCTTTGGAAACAGTAAACAAAAATTGAATGAAACCAGAGTTTGAGACTTAAACTATAAGACTATATGGCTGACTTCTCTCCTGCATCCAAATTCTATACAGGAGAAAGATCTCCCCAGTCAATGAAACCACCATTAACAACCGCTGCCAACTATCAAAGTTCTTATTTTGATAAACATAATGGAACTTTGAAATCCCCTGAGAAGGGAATATCACTCAGAGACATTTAGTCCTCATTCTGATAAGATAACGATATTTTCCAGTTATTCAGTAATTGTGCCCGATGGAGCCATTTCATATTCCACAGATTTCCATGCTTCAGTCTATCATCACATCAGCTCACATAGAACACATGTTCTCAGACTGTGCTGAACACTTTAAAATGTACAATTTAGTGTTATCTCTGGATCAATGACATGACACAAGAGTACAGTTAATCCCTAAGCACAATTGACCCACAAATCACTTCTATTTGACTTTACAAGCTGTTTTTAGAATCAGAGTGAACAAATGTACCTGAAGTCCCAGAAATTCTCATATCATACAAAATAAACTTCCCGATATGGTTCCCAACCTGTTCCCAGTGCAAGCACAAACTATACTTCTTAAAATAATGTAAAATGCAGATTACTCAAAACTAGATTCTCATTCTAAGCTTGCAGTTTCATGTTTTCTTGGGAATGAAATGGGGGGTAATTGCTCTGGCTTAAGATAATTTATCTTGTAATTTTTGCTGGATATGGTTAAAAGTCGGTATTCTTGTCTACAGAACTCAAAATCAGTATTTGCTGTGGGTTGAGAATTAACTGTTTCAAGGCCATGTAGAAAAATCACTGCACAGCACTGTGTAAGTTCATGTCCCTCACAGGCATTACTAGATTTCACTAAGGATAAGCTCCATTCTGTTTCCACCACAAAGGGAAGTCCTTCCTCCAAAAACCATTGCCGTTGTCCATTAAAAAATAGTCCCTTTCAGTTTGCTCCTTTCTCTTTTGCCCTAAATGCTTCAATAAAAGTAATACGGACAGTACTGAACTGCCAGTATCAATGCTTCAAGAGGTGGGTGGGGACTCAAGTGTTGCTGTAGATTGTGTTCCAGTGTTGTACAAGAGGAGGGTGCTGTGTGCAACTCTACTCTTATGTGAGAGGGATGTTCACTCTCCTGCTCTCCCTCTGACTCTCTGCTAAGAATCTTCTTTTGTATCCTTCCCATGGTGCACATTAAAAACATCAATAGGAGGTTTATAATAACACATATAGAAAGATTAGAAAAGAACTTTTCAGAATTGTGGTAAAAATACATAACATAAAATTTACCATTAAAATTTTTTTTAAGTGGCTTTAAATACATCCACATTGTTGTGCAACTGTCACCACCATCTACCTCCCAAACTTTTCCATCATCTCAAGCTGAAACTCTGTGTCCATGATCAGTATCTCCCCCATTTCCCCCTCCTCCCAGACTCTGGTAATCATTATTCTACTTTCTGTCTCTGTGAATTTGATCATTCTAGGTCCCTCACATAGGTGGAATCATACAATATTTGTTCTTTTGTGTCTGGCTTATTTCACTTAGCATAATGTCTTCAAGGTTCATTCATGTTGTAGCATGTGTCAGAATTTCATTTCTTTTTAACGCTGAATAATATTCAATTGTATGTATCTAGCATATTTTCTTTATCCATTCATCCTTGTCTGGGCTTTTGGATTATTTCTATCTTTTGGCTATTGTGAATAATGCTGCTATGAAAATGGGTGTGCAAATATCTGTTCAAGCCCTGCTTTCAATTCTTTTGGGTATATACCCACAGGTGCTAGATCATATGGTAATTTTATGTTTAATTTCTTGAGGAACTGCCACAGAGTTTTCCATAGTGGCTACACCATTTACATCCTGGCCAGCAATGCACAGGGTTATAATTTCTCTCTATCCTCACCAACACTTGGGATCTTCTGTTTTTTAAAAATAGTAGCCATTCTGGTGGCTGATGCACATAAGCAGGAGAATTAATTAATAAAATGTGGCTTAGTCCCACAATGGAATATCAGATAGCAGTGAAAAGAAGATACTTTAGCTATATTCAACAATATGAATAAGTTTTTGAAACAGTTTTGTTGGAGAAAAAAGAAGTCCTAGAGGACTACAAAAAGTATAATACTCTTTCATGATGCTCAAAACCAAACCAATCAAAATTGAATACTATATTGTTTAAGCACACATGCAGTTGGGATAGAAACTATATTTTTTAAAAAGTAATGGAATCTCAATGAGATACCATCAGAATGGCTAAAATAGAAAGGATGAAAATGCCAAACGTTGGTGAGGATGTGAGGCCACTGAAATTCTCACACACGGCTAGTGGGAGTATAAAATGGAACAATTGCTTTGGGAAACTGGCAGTTTCTTAGAAAGTCAAATACATCTCTCCCCTGTAATCCAGCAATTCCACTCCTAGGTATTTTTCCAAGAGAAATGAAAACATATGTCCATGCAAAAACTTGTACAAGAACGTTCATAGCAACTTATTTATAGGAGATAAAAACTGGAAATTGCCCCAATGCCCCTCAACTGTGATACATCCATGATAGAACACCACTTAGAAGAAACAAGGAGCAAATTACTAATACAGCAACAAAATAATCTCACAAACATGCCGAATGAAAAAAGACAAACAAAAAAGTACATACTGTATGATTCCATTCGTAACTATGCTGATAGAAGTCAGATCAGTGGTTGTTCCTTGGGTAGGGATTGACTAGGAAGGGATAAAATTGATCAGGAATGGGATTTTTGGAGGTGTTGGTTAATGTCTTATATCTTGATAAAGGTATGGGTTACATGGATGTATGGGTTTGTCAAAGCTAATCAAAGTGTAAAATTAAGATCTATGCACTTCACTGTGTGTAAATCATACCGTGATAAAAAAATTCTTAGGAAAAAATCAGAACTGCATTTCACATTGTTTATTTTCTAATCAGCAGTAAATGGGAATTTAATTTTTTTTTTTTTTTTTTTGTGGTACGCAGGCCTCTCACTGCTGTGGCCTCTCCCATCGCGGAGCACAGGCTCCGGACGCGCAGGCCCAGCGTCCACGGCTCACGGGCCCAGCCGCTCCGCGGCATGTGGGATGCTCCCGGACCGGGGCACGAACCCGTGTCCCCTGCATCAGTAGGCAGACTCTCAACCACTGCGCCACCAGGGCAGCTCGGGAATTTAATTTTTAAACATATTTTTAAAACATGGTGAATTTTGGGGGGCTACAATATATTTAGTAAAATCCCACTTTTTCTGTAATTAAATATTTTTATTTAAAATGTTTGACCTTGTACCTCCATTACGGACACCAAATGGGGAAGAGAGGAAAGCCATAGACTAATAAAAATGGATGGAATATTTAGCACAGTGGTAACCTGGGATGGGGTGGGGGAGAATGGGAGATGAGATAGGGAAGAATATACAAGTAGACATAAGTTGTGGTATGGTTTGTTTTGTTTTATAAACCCTCAACCTTCCAATTAATTTTTTAACATTAAAAAATTGAGATATAATTCATATACCATAAAATTCATCGCTTTAAAGTAAACAATTCAGTGGTCTTTAGTACATTTACAAAGCTGTGCAACCATCTCCACTAATTCCAGAACATTTTAGTAACCCAGTAAGAAATTATATAACCATTAGCAGTCACTTCCCATTCTCTCTTCTAGCCCCAGATATAGCTACTCTACTTTAGTGTCTCTATAGATTTGTCTACTCTGGATATTTAATATAAATGAAATCATATAATATGTGGTCTGAGACTGGCTGCTTTCACTTAGCATAATGTCTTCAAGGATTATCATGTTGTAGCACGAATCAGTACATCATTCCTTTCAAGGGCTGAGTAATACTCCATTGTACTGATATGCCACTTTTTGTTTATCCATCAATTGATGGACATTAGGGTTGTTTCCACTTTTGGTTATTATGAATAATGCTATGAACATTTGTGATGCGTTTTTGTCTGGACATTTGCTTTTATTTCTCTTGGATATATACCTAGGAGAGGAATTGTTGAGTCATACTCTAAAATTTAACTTGAGGAACTGCCAAACTGATTTCCAAAGTGGCTGCACCATAATTCATTCCCACCAGCAAAGTATGAGTGTTCCAATTTCTCAGCATCATTGCCAACACTTGTTATTGTGTCTTTTTTTAAAAAAATAAATTTATTTACTTATTTATTTTTGGCTGCATTGGGTCTTCATTGCTGTGCGCGGGCTTTCTCTGGTTGCAGCAAGTGGGGGCTACTCTTCGTTGCGGTGCGCAGGCTTATCATTGTGGTGGCTTCTCTTGGTGTGGAGCACGGGCTCTAGGTGCATGGGTTTCAGTAGTTGTGGCACGTAGGCTCAGTACTTGTGGCTCTTGAGCTCTAGAGCACAGGCTCAGTAGTTGTGGCACACAGGCCTAGTTGCTCTCCAGAATGTGGGATCTTCCTGGGCCAGGGCTGGAACTTGTGTCCCCTGCATTGGCAGGCGGATTCTGAACCACTGCGCCACCAGGGAAGTCCCTGTCTTTTTTATTACAGCCATCCTAGTTGATATGAAGTGGTGTAATATATATATTATATATATGTATTATATATTATATATAATTTTTTGCTGTTTTCTTACTCTTTAAAAAATTGAAGCATAATTGACCTACAACACTATGTTAGTTCCATGTGCACAACATAGTGATTCAATAATTCTGTGTTACAAAATCACCACAGTATTCTGTTATATTTTAATTGCTGGACTGAGTGGTCACTCCATGGGTGTTAGTTATTGTGTGGCTGAACCACACTGACTCTATTTTGTCAGCTCCATCTTAGGCCCACAGTCCTAACCCCTCCCCTTCCTGTGTGACTGAGCTTTAGCCTACTCACAAGTAATGCACCCAAGCCAGATAAGTTTCCTATCAACTTTTACCCTTGTCTTCATCAGATATAAGAACTGGAAGAATGCTCTTTAGCTGACACAGATGGTTAATGGTCCTCAAGGAATAATGGTCATGAGACCCCCAAGGGGATGGAAAAACTTCCAGTCCCACTGGTGCAGATGTGCTTCTCCCTTAATAATCAGATTGCATTTTTAGCTTTGGCCCCTTTAAATTCCCTTGTGCCCCTTTTGGCAGTGAGGAATGCAGCTGCAAATGCTTCCAGATCGCTGTTCACCCGATCTTACCCATATGTAAATTACCCACAATAAACTCCATAATTGCATTTTATGGAGTTGCCTGTTTCACTTTTTGGTCTCAAAATTCCTTTTCAGTTTGGGGGATATTATTCAATATCCCCACCTTCGAAAAGTTAGTTTGCTTTTAACCAACATATGTTGGTTAAAAGCGGCCATGGCTCACGGGCCCAGCCGCTCGGCGGCATGCGGGATCTTCCCGGAGCAGGGCACGAACCCGTGTCCCCTGCATCGGCAGGTGGACTCTCAACCACTGCACCACCAGGGAAGCTCAACATAATTTTTAATAGTGAAAATTAAATAAACTTATATACAAAAATGAAAGAATATTTTAAACTCTATGATCCATTAATATAATGGGAACCTGTAACAACACTGAAAATCATGCTTTCAAAGAGTTTTTAATAAAATAAGAATATATTCATTAAATATGTTAAGTTTCAAAGGTAGAGTATACAAGTATGCAGATGTATTATATACTATGTATAAAAATATACATACAGTGTATAATAAAAACCAGGAAGCATATATAATCCAAAATTGGTTCTCAAAATTGGTGTACCAATTTTTTGGTGTACCTAGCCTAGATTCACCTAGGGAATTTATTAAAATCAATGTCCTGATTCCATCTGGGCCTACTGAATTGGAACCTTAAACTAGCCATGAAGCAGGAATACGGACAATTGTAAGCATGCTCTTCTCACTATCTGTCAGCATATTATTATTTTATCTTTGTATTTGTCTCCCCTGCTGGAATATAGGCTTCAACTAGAACATGTAACTCGCTTTGCATAAGAAAAAGGGGAGGCTCAGGAATTCCCTGGAGGTCCAGTGGTTAGCACTCTGGGCTTCCACTGCAGGGCGCATGGGTTTGATCCCTGGTCGGGGAACTGAGGTCCCCCAAGCTGAGGGGCATGACCGAAACACACACACACACACACACACACACACAAAATAAAAATAAATAAATAAATAAAAGAAAACGGGGTGGATGAGAGGATGGGCAATCTTGAAATCGTAGGAAGAGTCAGGGAGGCAGGACTGGAGAAAGGACAGAAAGATAATCGGTGATAGTGCAGACTCAAGATTGGGCAAGGGGACTTCCCTGGTGGCGCAGTGGTTAAGAATCTGCCTGCCAATGCAAGGGACATGGGTTCGAGCCCTGGCCTGGGAAGATCCCACATGCCGCACAGCAACTAAGCCCATGCACTACAACTACTGAGCCTGCGCTCTAGAGCCCGCAAGCCACAACTACTGAGCCTGCGTGCCGCAACTACTGAAGCCTGCATGCCTAGAGCCCGTGCTCCACAACGAGAAGCCACGACAATGAGAAGCCCGCTCACCACAACGAAGAGCAGCCCCCACTCACCACAACTAAAGAAAGCTTGTGCACAGCAACAAAGACCCAACACAGCCAAAAATAAATAAATAAATATATTAAAAAAAAAAAAAGGATTGGGCAAGGGGGCTCAAAAGATATTTTTCAAAGGGAATGCTGGGCACTGTACAATGTAAACCACCGCTACCTACCTCCACTGGGAAATCTTCAGTACGGTATTAATTTCTCACTAATAAATAGATATGAGGGGACTTTTTTTTGGCTGTGCTTTGTGGCATGTGGAATCTTACTTCCCTGACCAGGGATGCTTGAACCCATACCCCCTGCGGTGGAAGCTCGGAGTCTTAACCACTGGACTGCCAGGGAAGTCCCAAGGGGACTTGGAGGTAAGTGGAAAGAAATGCTGAGTCCTGCTTTAAGGAGGGTGGAGGAAGGTGGGTAATGAAGGCTGCCGGTGGGTCAGTCACCTGGGTCATGTGTACTCACCTTGAGAAGCATATTTTTCATGGAAAACCTCATAGGCTTTTCTGTGGGCATCAGTGAGGATCTGGAGACGAGAAGATCTTGATTCCTGGTGGGGAAGCTCCATTATCACTTCCTCCAAGTCACTAAAAGTGAACCAGATCTCAACTAGGTCCCCAAAGGAGTGGAAGATGAAGGAGGCATAGTCAGCAAAGAGATCAGCAAAGGCCTCAGTTCTCTGGACGGTGCTGGCAGGAAGAGTCTGGTGGTGCAGGACCACCAGGGGCTGAAGCTGAGCACTCTTGAGGGCCTCAAGGAGTTGCCGGTAGCACTGCACTGTTTCCTTGTCTGGGTTCTTGGAGGTTCCTTCTGGGAGTAGCTGTGCCCACGGCAGAAATACTTTGTAATGAGTGATCATAATGGCACGAACACTGCTAAAGTACTCTGGCAGGAAAGAGGGCAGTGGTTGGCGACAAACATAAATTTCCTTGTCTCCTGTTACAAAGGGAGAATCCTGGTTTCCCAGTGGACCCCTCAGGTTGCGTAGCAAGTCGCTGGTTAGAGGACCAGCAGCTGAAATGAAGTTTCTATCAGATTCCCAGTCTAACCCCCAACAAGAAAAACTTAGGAGGACAATAAGGACTAAATGCCAGACTAGCTCCATCTTCAAGGAACTGTTAGGAGGTATGTGGAATACTTACTTTATAACTACAGTTGAGGTTGTAAAATACTAAGTGACTGTAAACACTTACTATGTAACTGGGTTATCTACGATAATAAAATCAGTATGTGATTCACCTATGTAACATCAAAAAATTTTAAAACTATAAGAGATAACACAAAAACCTCAAACTTCTCACACAATTTATTCCAAGGAACCTGGGAAGTGTCTGAAGAAAAAAGTTCTCCACATTTTTTCTTACTTACAAATTATTTTAAAACTTATTTACATAGCAGAACAAAAGTGAGTTCCTCGCCAAACTTTTTTTCTCCTTTAAAAACATGTTGGGGGGGGCTTCCCTGGTGGCGCAGTGGTTGAGAGTCCGCCTACCAATACAGGGGACACGGGTTCGTGCCCCGGTCCGGGAAGATCCCACATGCCGTGGAGCGGCTGGGCCCATGCGCCATGGCCGCTGAGCCTGCGCATCTGGAATCTGTGCTCCGCAATGGGAGAGGCCACAACAGTGAGAGGCCCACATACCGAAAAAAAAAAAAAAAACATGTAGGGGGACTTCCCTGGTGGCGCAGTGGTTAAGAATCCGCCTGCCAATGCAGGGGACACGGGTGCGAGCCCTGGTCCGGGAAGATCCCACACACAGCGGAGCAACTGAGCCCGTGCGCCACAACTACTGAGCCTGTGCTCTAGAGCCCGTGAGCCACAACTACTGAGCCTGCGTGGCACAACTACTGGAGTCCGCGCCTGGAGCCCTTGCTCCGCAAAAGAGAAGCCACCACAATAAGAAGCCTGCACACTGCAATGAACAGTAGCCCCCACTCGCTGCAAGTAGAGAAAGCCTGCGCACAGCAACAAAGACCCAACGCAGCCAATAAAAAAAAAAAAAAAAGTAGGGACTTCCTGGTGGTTCAGTGGTAAAGAATCCACTTTACAAGGCAGGGGACACGGGATCGATCCCTTGTCAGGGAACTATGATCCCACATGCCACAGGGCAACTAAGCCTGCATGCCACAACTACTGAGCTCTTGCGCCCCGTCTAGAGCCCGTGTGCCACGAACTACAGAGCCCACGTGCCATGGAGCCTAGCGCACCACAACTAGAGAAGAGGAAAAACCTGCATGCCACAACTAGAGAGAAGCCTGGGAGCCGCAATGAAGACACCACGTGCCACAACAGAAGATCCCGCATGCCTCAGTGAAGATCCCAAGTGCCGCAACTAAGACCCCACGCAGCCAAAAATAAATAAATAATAAATCTTAAAAATAAATAAATAAAATTTAAAAATTTAAAATATGTAAGTAAATGATGAACACATTTTGTGAAAGATTCAAACAATACAGAAATATATATGAAAACTTACTAATTCCCCTCTTCCCTTCCCTTCGGTAATCACTTTCAACACTGTGCTTCCTTCCAGTTTCCTTTCTCTGTACATATTAATGGCTGTTCAGGAGTTGGAATGCCAGTGTTTAAATCTCATCTGGCGAAAGTTACTAAATTTCTCTGTGCCTGTTTCCTCATCTGTATAATGGTGATAGATAGGTTGTGAGATTTAAATGAGGTCATTCATTAGCATATTAAGAACAATGCAACTGAATGATAGCTATTATTACATATATATAATGCAAACATACATGTGTATAACATTTAAAATATATAATTTAACATATATGGAATTATGTCTTATGTAGTGTTCCTCAGTTGCTTTTTATTTTCCTTCACTTAATAGTGCTTGGAGCTCTGTTTATACCAGAATATGTAGACCCACTCCTTTTTAACAGATGCATAGCATTCCACGGTAAGGTTGTACCATAGTTTAAACTCTTGCGTATTGAACACTGGTTGGTTCTTAATTTTAATATGTTGCAAATTAATATCTGTATCTTTAGTTATACATCTTTGTCCACATTTCTTTTCTTTAAGATAGAGTCTTAGAAATTAAGTTGCTGACTCAATGGCATGCCCATTTGGAATTTTTATTGTAATCCAATGTCTTCTAAAACAGGCTTCTTCAAATTTAAATCCTACCTACAGTTAGAAGTGTGTCTAAATCTCTCTGGTTTGCTCACACTTGTTATAAAACTTCATATTTTGGACACTTGTTTCTGTTTAGAGGGGTAGCTTTTCAGGTTAATTGGCTACTTGTTTTTCTTCTTTATATTCTTTATACATTTTTATTATTTAAATTATTATTGATATAAGAACTCTTAATAGAGTTTGGATATCATGTATTAAAATGTGATAGAAAAAAAACTTCCCCCTAGTGTTAGTTTTAAAATTTGATTTATAGTGTCCTTCAAAATACATTACTTGGTACCATATTTTTGAAAGCTTGTGTCAAATGTATTATTTAATATTCTTGTTTCTAATCTTTAGATCTTTAGCCCATCTTGAATTTTAACTTTGTTTGTGCTGTGTGGTAGGGTTTATCAATTTCTAATGGGTTACTGAATAGGCCATTCTCTCCCCACTATTTGAAATGCCAACTATCAGAAATGAAATATCTATCTAGACATATGTGTTTCTAGACTTTCTACTCCTTGTCTATCTATTCCTGTGCCAGTACCACAGCATTTTAATTTTTATACCTGTGTAGCGTAGTACTTTTCACTTTATGATAGGACATGGCCTCTTCTATCATTCTTTTTCCTAGAATTGTCTTGGAAATGTATATATATATTCATTTTAATAGAAAGTTTTATTTCACTTAGTGGAATTTTCAAGGTGGCCCTGACAGCTTCATATAAATGTATCATTTTTCAGATTCCTGTGTTTATAATCATTGTTATCTCTCTAAAAGCATATTATATTAATTATAGAAATATTAAATAAATGCATTCTCATAAATATCCCCAAAATTTAGATAATAGTTCCATTTGCCTTATACCTAATCCCAGCTACTTCCTAAAAAGTATTCACCATTTATTACATGTGTATGTACATAAAGATATACTTTTACCTAACAAGTTTACAAAATAAGAGGTACTATAATGTGAGTATTGATCTACAACTGGTATTTTTACCATATAGCACAACTTGGAGATCTTCACATTGTGCAAATATTGATATATCTTATTCTTTTTGAAAGCTGCACTGTGTGACCTTGCATAATCATTATTTTGTTGATTAGGTTTTAGGTTATTTTCCATTTTCAGTGTCACAATGTCACAATGAATGTCATTGTATATGCCTTTTTCTATACATATATTGGTTATTTCTTCAGGGAAAATATTGAAGAGTACAACTGCTGGGTAATAGGGTAGTCAGTTATATTTTAACTTCTAATGGTACTGACAAATTTTTCCCTAAAAGGAGTGTCCTGATTTATACTCCTACCAGTAGTGCATTACAACATCAAATTCCAGACAAACCCACCAATGCTATTATAATATTATCAAATTATTAGTGTGTTTATAATTTTGAATGATTTTTAAAATTGATTTGTATCAGCTCTGTATCCATTTGGGGAAATAACCTTTTTCCCATTATAAACTGAGAAAATATATAGCTATTGAAACATATATATAGTATATTCTTCTCATCCGCAGCTTATTTTTCCTGGACATTAATCCTTTCTCTCGTATATAGGTTGAGAAAACATTTTCCCAATCTGTAGCTCTGGTTTTTAATTTTTAAACTTTGGTGTAGTCAAATTTATTAATTTTTTTCCTTATGGCATCTCTGCTTATACATAGTTTTAAAAAGCCTCTTCTACAAAGTTATAAGAAAAGCTTGCATTTTTCCTTTTTAAAATTAATTTTTAAAAATTGATACAACTGACATATAACATTATATTTGTTCCAGGTGTACATGATTGTATACATTGCACACATATCACCACAATAAATCTAGTTAACATATCCATCACCACACATAGATACAAATTTTTTTCTTGTGTGTGGTGAGAACGTTTAAGATCTACTCTCTTAGCAACTTTCAAATAGTGTTATTAACTATAGTCACCATGTACATTACATCCCCATGACATTTATTTTGTAACTGTAAGTTTGTACCTTTTGACCATCTTCACCCATTTCACCCACCTACCACCTCCACCTCTGGCAACCACCAATCTAGCCTTTGTACCTGAGTTCATTTTTTATTTTATTAAAAATGTATTTTTAGGGACCTCCCTGGTAGTCCAGTGGTAAAGAATACACCTTCCAATGAAGGGACGAGGGTTCGATCCCTGGTCGGGGAACTAAGATCTCACATGCTGCAGGGGAACTAAGCCCACATGCCACAACTACTGAGCTCACGCACCTCAACAAGAGAGGCAGCATGCCGCAAACTACACAGCCCATACACCCTGGAGCCTTCGCGCCACAATTAGACAGAGAAAACCCGCACACCACAACTAGAGAGAAGCCTGTGCACTACAACTAGAGAAGCCCATGTGTCACAACGAAAATATCCCGCATGCTGCTGCTAAGACCCGACATAGCCAAAAAAAAAAACGAATACATTAAATAATTACTCTAAAAATGTTTTAGATTCCACAGATTACACATTATTTGTCTGTCTTATTTCATTTAGCATAATGCCCTCCAGTTTCATCCATGTTGTCACAAATGACAAGATTTCCTTCTTTTTAGGGCTGAATAATACTTGATTGTACATATATATACATTTTATCCATTCTTCCATCAGTGAACACTTAGGTTGCTTCCATGTCTTGGCTATTGTAAATAATGTGGCAATGAACATGAGGGTGCATCAATCTTTTTGAGTTAGCTTTTTCATTTTCTTCAGATAAATACCTAGAAGTGGAATTGCTGGATTTATATGGTAGTTCTATTTTTAGTTTTTTGGGAAACCTCTGTTTTCCATAGAGGTTCTCACCAATATTACACAAGTGTTCTCTTTTCTCCACATCCTTGCCAACACTTGTTATTTTTTGTCTTTTTCATAATAGCCTTTCTCATGGGTGTAATGTAATAGCTCATTGTGGTTTTGACTTTCATTTCCCTGATGATTAGTTATGTTGAGCACCTTTTCATGTATGTTGGCAATCTGAATATCTTCTTTGGAAAAATGCCTATTCAGATTATCTGCCCATTTTAGATGGTTATCTTGTATAAATTCTTTACATACTTTGGATATTAAGCCCTTATCAGATACATTATTTGCAAATATCTTCTCCCATTCTTTTTCATTTGACTGATGGTTTTCTTTGCTGTGCAGAAGCTTTTTAGTTTGATGTAGTCCTATTTATTTATTTTTGCTTTTGTTGCCTTTGCTTTAGAATCAAATCCAAAAAATCATTGCCAAGATTGATATCAAGGAACCTACCACCTGTGTTTTCTTCTAGGAAGTTTATGATT